CCCTGAATCCAACATGACCCAGTGATTTTCACTAGGTTTTTTTTTATTGCTTAGATGGGTGGACGAGCTGACAGCCCACCTGGTTTTAAGTGGTTACTAGAGTCCATAGACATCCACAACGTAAATGCGCCACCCACCTTGAGATATAAGTTCTAAGCAGCCGTTGTAATCATACTTGAGACCTTAGAACTTATAATATCTCAAGGTGGGTGGCGCATTTACGTTGTAAATGTCTATGGGCTCCAGTAACCACTTAACATCAGGTGGGCTGTGAGCTCGTCCACACATCTAAGAAAGAAAAAAGTCTGAAGTATAGTTACAACGGCTGCCCCACCCTTCAAACCGAAACACATTACTGCTTCGCGGAAGAAAAAGGTAGGGTGGTGGTACCTACCCGCGCGGACTCACAATACGTCCTACCACCAGTAATTACGATCCATCTGGTATGTGGCCGTTCGACGTCAGCCCCGTCAATCTTAGCGGCCATCTATTCTGCGAATAATGTTTCCTACCCATTGACACTTCAACCTTTCAATCCTTCTTCGGGCTATGTCAGCTACGCTGTGTGATACTTCTTACACTTAAGTATGTATCAAATTGGCGGCATCCACGTTATGATATCTGTAGTATCCCTTAACTACCAGGCGTGAGTTATTTCAGTCACCTTAGAAACAAAAAAATAATAGTTCAAAAAAACTAACAAAATACGCTTTTATAGAAAATCCAACTAAAAAATAGAAAATAGAAGGTGCTTTTCAGGATATTATCAAAATAACCCTTCTGCTCATATCTGTTCATAAAATATTGTCGAATATGTCGGTTGCCTGAACGTGGCTACTGAGTTTGAAACTGAGTTTTCATGGGCCACCAGACGGGCTCGGCTGGATTTCATAGCACCGGACTGATAGACTGAATAATAAAGGCACTGACTTCTTCTGAACACTTGTATTTCGTCTGAATTAGTACATTTTACATTTAATTATACTGAATACGCGACCGTTCGCGTGAGAGGCGCTTGAGCAGAGAGTACAGAGTAATGAATGACAAAAAACTGAACATTAACATAGATTATTACGGCTTCGCACTGATTTTAAACAGATAAACAATTTCGTTTTTAAAGAGTAATAATTACATGTGAATTTGCGTGAACAAATATTTATAACTACTGATACCATGCACCCCACGCTTTTTTTACAATAAAATTATTTTTTCTTACACTATTTTTAATTCAAATTTATTAAAATTTATTTTCTATTGTTTAGTTGGATTTTCTATAAAAGCGCATTTTGTTAGTTTTCTTAAATTATTATTTATATTTCAGTTTTTAGTTGAATTTCAATTTTTTTAATTTTTTTTTAAATATTTAATTGTTATTGGTCCTTGATAAGTATACCAAATTTCTTTTTCCGACGTTTTGAAGGGGATCAAAATCATATTCAAAGGTTCCGTTACAGCATACGTCTGAAGCTAATAAAAGCGAATTAAAAACAACTTTGACTACACAGTGGCTCATAAAAATCGTCTCTTTCTCTGTTGAATAATATTATAAAAGCTGTATATGGTCTCTAATATCTACAAAAACTTTCAAAATAGTTAGTACAGCATTACGTGGAAATTGACCAGCTTCGGTGAGGCTTCGATAGGGCTTTCAAGGAATAACATAGTTATGTTTGAAAAGGCATCGAAACATCGGCCCAAGTGTACTTAGGTAAGATTAGTGTGTTTCATACATATAATTAATTCCTTCGGCAAAACTCAACCCTGGTTCCTTAAGATCAATCTACACAATATTAAAAGAAACGATTCTCACTACATCACAGTTGAAGTCTAGCTGGCGCGTAGTTTTGATTTTAATCCACTTAATTATACTTTGTTTTGTCTCCTTTATTGAATACTAACTTCCCTTCCCTTTTGAATTTTTGATTTGATTATTTGATTTAATTGATTGTTTGATTATTAAAAAAACTATTATATGATTATTCGATAAAAAAATATTTAAAAATTATAATATTAATTATTCATATCCTGGACTGAAAGGAGACTGAAACGATTACATACATTTTTGGGCCCGAATGTAACGTGATGAAACTAGTATGAATTAATAGATTCAGATTTATCAGTACCTTGCTGAAAATTATAAAAGTTTTCTCAATCTGAGAGCAAAGTTAATAAAAATTTAGTAAAAGTTAGGTTATGTTACAATATCTATAAAAGAGCTATTTAAGCATAAGTAAATGTTTATTATATCCATTGGATAATCTTTTAAATGTCATATTATGAATGAATATCAATGATATATATCAGGTATGGATTTATCTAAAAGCGTCGAAAAAAATAAAACACAACGTATGGTATACCTAGTGTATTCACCTTAAATTATTATTAAAATATCGTTCAGGAAGAGTGCAGCGGGAACAACATTATCTTGGTATGTACCAAGCCCAGCTAAGGTACCATATAATGCTGTCCAAAGGTCCAACCATATAATATAATCCGACCATATAATACTGTAACCCTGTCCAAGGGTCGACGGCCTATGGCATTGCTATGATTAATTGCTATCCCACAATTCACACAGCGATCCATAATTTCAACAGTATCCAATTCAACAATTTCAAATCAAACGCGTGAGTGATCTTCAGTGTTCAGTGTAGAAGCAATTGTCGTACAAGGCAGGCAGGGTTGGTATCCGTAATAATAAAGCATGTTGAAAATAAATAAAACGGCCAGATATATACACACTCAAAACGCGTCAAAAATACAAAACGAGTAGAGCAGAAAAACCAACAAGCGCCAAATATAAAGTGTATAATCTATCAACAAGCGTCATGTCAGCTTATTGTCAAGCTGTCATTAAAAATACAATCGATTTTAATCGATTTGAAATCGATAATCATATTACTTTGTTAAGTAATAATAGACTTTTTCTTTATTTATGTATATAATCGCAATTAAATTCGCCGTATACCGCACTTGTATACAACAAGTATAAATCGCTCATTTAATTACTTTGCATTCATTGCCTTGTGCAATGTTTTTCTTTTTATAATCCTGTAATCGATTAATTAAATCGATCACACCGCTAAACCGACAAAAACTAACTTTCTCATTTTTCTCCGGTCCCAGGAAAAGGATTGAGGTGATTTTTTATATTCATAAATAAAAAAATATGACAAATTTTTTAGACTACATTCCAAGTTATTACATTTTTGGCCCACGATTTTTCCGTCTCCTTTGATAGGCAACCCATATACAATATATTTATTGGTATATTAAATTTAATATAAAATACGTTTTATTAAATAAACATCTCGGTGAAGGTCGTTTTATATCGGGAACTTAGACTAAAACAACGCAAATGCGAAAAAAAGCTTACGCTAAAGTAAGTCCACTTTATTTACATAAATTAAAGCACAGTATCTTTATCAGCTATTCAACTGAATTTTATCTGCATCTCAGTATTAAGATACAAGTTTTATGAAGTGTTCCGACACTGACTCGTACAATTTCGTGTTTCTTAGCTCGTGACACATTGATGTTCCGCTCGGACGATAATTTTGAAACTTTAATGTATGACTAGCTGAGTCCCTCGATGATACCCGCGGTTATTATCGTACCGCGAGTGGCAAAGCTAGTCTAAAAAAAGTAGCCCAAATTACTACTTATATCATCAGATACTTAATAGTGAAAGTCCCGTCAAAATCGGTTCAACCGTTCCAAAGATTAGCCGGAACAAACAGCCAGACAGCAAGAGAGACAAAAATTGTAAAAAATGTTATTTTAATACGCTTTTATCTTCAGACGTATATATGTTAGTATGTAACGGAATCTTTGAACATGATTTTGACCCCTTCAAAACGTCGGATTAACACGAAATTTGGTATACTTATTAAAGACCGATGACAATTCAGTATTAAAAAAAACTTTTAAAAATTGAAATTCAACTAAAAAATGAAAAATAAATAATAGTTTAAGAAAACTAACAAAATACGCTTTTATATAAAATCCATCTAAAAAATAGAAAATATATTTTAATAAATTTGAATTAAAAATAGTGTAAGAAAAAATGAGCGTGGGGTGCATGGTATCAGTAGCTACAAATATTTTATGAACAGATATGAGTAGAAGGGTTATTTTGATAATATCCTGAAAAGCACCCCACGCTTTTTTTACAATAAAATCATTTTGGAACGAACTTCCTTATGGGTTCGTCTGCCTATTAGAGCAATAAATAAATAAACTTATTTAAGCTAATTGGTTTGTCAATCAGACGAGCAGTGTGTCACAAAAACTCCATCGTTCACTCCAGAGCACTGAACTCGTCTCAGACAATGTAATGTTTTACCACAATCATTAGCTCGATGGTTAGCAAATTTACTTAGCTGTAAACAACTTTATGTACTTATTTTTGCAAGTTTCCGAGCTTTCAAGCTTATTCAATAGCTTTCAAGATTTCTTTCGTATACAATATCTCAATGAGACGGTAGTAGCATTTCTGATAACTGTATCAAAAATATATAAGATATAAGACGCTATAAGATATAAGACGCCCGGTGCATTAGTATCTAGCGATGCGACTGTGCCGGAGTTCGAATCCCACAGGCTGTTACTAATTTTTCTGATAAAATACGTACTTAACAAATGTTCAAGATTGACTTCTACGGTGAAGGAATAGCATCGCGTAATAAAAATCAAACTCTCAAAAATTATCATTTTCGTAATGACTGGTGGTAGAACCTCTAATTAACCCACACGGGTAGATATCATCGCCCTGCCTATTTCTACCCTGAAGCAATAAAGGATTTCGGTTTTAATACTACTAAAAAACCCAGACTTTAGAACTCATGTTTCAAGGCGGGTGGAGGCATTTACGTTGATGATGTCTATGGGCTCAGGTGACCACTTAAGACCAAGTGGGCTGTTAGCCCATTAGTTAGACCGTTAGCCGCCAATTTAGTAAATAAAAAAATAGAGTTTCGAATAGTTTACAGTTTTCATGGTCATGACTTAAGCGAGTGTGGTGTTCGCTCACGCGGCTCGCACACCCTCCAATCCTCCAAACCCTCCACCCAGCACTGAGATTCAAGCGTAAAGTTATCCGGAGGCGTTGAGCTGGGCAAGTAAATTGAGGCAAAATGTTCTGCAAAAAGATTCACAATGTCAGGGCCTGTTTTTACTACCTGATCTTTCAAGTTCATAGATGCAGGTATGGATGAGTCACTACCTCTTTTATGTTTAATAAAGCTCCAGAAAAGCTTAGGGTTTTTAGGGATATTAGCTTCGATGTTATTCCTATAATCTGAATAGCATTTATCGTACATTGCGTGGCATCTAGAGCGGAGCAGACGGTATTCAATTTCGTCTCTAGGGTTTCTGTATTTTTTGAACCTTTTCCGAATTTTTTCCTTTTCTTGTAATAGTTTGATGAAGGAGGTGCTGAACCATTTAGGGAACTTAGATTTATTAAGGGTTTGTTTCGGCACATATTCTTCTAAGAGATCGTCCACTATTTTGTAAAATTTTATCAGCATTAAATCAATATTTTCACAGCCCGATAACTTTGTTTGCCAATCAACACCTTTCAGATTTTTAACTATGGATGGATAATCTGCTCTATAGAAGTTATATCTAGGCTTGCATTTGGGCTTAAGATAGACAAGTTTATTGTAGGGCAAATTCAACAGTAGATTAGGATGCTGCTTATAACATTTGCTCAGCTCGCTCGAAGGGCTCACAACATATGCATCTCGGCAGCTGGTTATAACCAAATCTAAAAACCTGTTGTCACTATTTGCAATTGCATTGACTTGAAAGAGATTGTTAATGAAAACAAAGTCAGTAATAGAATGTCCCAGAGGAGAGTTATGGTTTGAGGGTACCATATAATTACTATCCTTATGAGGGTCCCAACTAATAAAACCCAAGTTAAAATCACCTAAAATAACAAGATCATCGGCCCGATCGGCAATATTATCTGCGCTATCTAAAAAATACTTGAGAGTTTCGGTTTTAACTGGTGGAGGAAGATATACAACGCATATAGCAAGCTTCCTAGTACTTGAGCCAATGTTAATATGCAAAGTGACCCACAAGTCCTCCACATTTGTTTCCCAACTCTTGACACGAGCAGACGGTATGTCCCTAGAAACAGCTAAGAGCACCCCACCGCCGTCTTTTTTAGAATTACCACTGCTTGATCGGTCCCGGCGATAAACAATGTATCTATCATCGATCAGTTCGTGATTAGAAATATTTGAGTTGAGCCAGGTTTCAGTAAATGCAATAATCTTATAATTCAACGTCAGAATATTTTTTGAAACCTCGTTAGTCTTAGTTCTAAGGCCCTGCACATTCTGGTAGTATATGTCAAGCATTGCGATCATCAAATACACCAATTCATTATTAGCAAAATACATTAACAACTTATACCAAAAGCTTAAGACTATCCACATTTTTAATTGCTATAGCTTGATGTTCCACTGTTTTCCGAGCAAAAATTCGCCCATTGCGAACCCATACAAATTTATAAGACATTTCCCGGGCTTTTATACGAGTTGCAGCGTGGAGCGATTTAAGTGCCGGAGTCAAATGTTCCGAAACGTAGACAGGGCTTACAGTTCCTCCAATTCCAAGATGCTTTGTACAAAGCTTCTTCTCGGGATCCTTATGATTAAATTTACTGACCGCGGCCAAAATGCTATCACGGGAACGAGGACTGCGTAGCTTAACAATCACTGGCCGAGGACGTGGATTGTCATTACTAATTTTAGCAACTCTTATAGCACGTTGGATATCTTCGTTAGTGAGCGGATTTTCAATAACTTTGGATAATTGAATGACGGTAGTGACCAAATTCTCAGATCGACTTTCCGGGATACCATTTATTTCAATATTTGATTCTCTCATATGTAGTTCAACAACGTTCAGCCTAGTAGTGAGATCTCTAATGGTTGTTTTAAGCCTCTCGTTATCACATTTTAGTTCAGTGATAGTTGAAGTACTCGTCGAACTCGGCAAAGAGTTCGACGTGCAACCTAACCCATGCATCAGCCCGCTGAGTTTCTCGCCGGATCTTCTCAGCGGGTCGCGATTCCGATTCGGTACATTCATTCGCGAAGCAGCTGCTCTTGAGTTGTTAGGTCTCCTTCGGAGGCGCTCGGGCAGCTATTAGCAAATCCCACCCCTCCTGACTGAGCCTTTGCTCGCCCACCTGTCCTGGTGAAACTGGAAATGCCTCCAGGCCACCAGTAATACTTCAATCATAGTTTTCGTGGTTTACGGCCGGCTAACATGGTAATCGTCGATATTCTAATGTTATGCTAACTACCGTCTATATTTCTCTATAGGCCGAGGAAAATACTGTAGTTCTTTGGACTACACCAGTAGTAATCAATCCACCAAACGTAAAATCTAAATGCAAAGTAGCCCGCTACATGTAACAGTCGGTTCGCATTACCGTTACAACGTTCGTAATGTTTCAATTTACTTGTAAATTCCCTGTATAAGTTACCGTAACGTATTTACTAAAACGTGAATACGTTGGAAAAATACAAAGATTCTTTTTCGGTGGATGCTTAAGTGTGTGTAGCCCAAAGAAATGGGAAATGATCAACTATAACCACCTGAATGTTTTAGTTTTTTTTATCCCCTTACCTAATCGTCCATAGCCTAAGGGACTATTCCAACTGTAGGTTAGCTCACCTGCTCAACCTGAGAGAGTTGACTAACATTAGCTCTAGCAAGAGCAGTGCTCCGCGGAATCTATTACCGGATCGGAATCGTATTGTTACGCCAGTAAGAGTAGCGCCATCTATCGCCTAGCAGCAGAAACTAATATCGAAGGAACTGGTAAAATCGATAAGTACACCGCCATCTATTATCAGATAGCAGACACACACATCGAAGCTACTCGACTTGCTCAGCATGTTCTCGTTCAATCTAGGGATGTCGTATCGACTATAAAAGCATTGCAGAGATGGCACGAAAGCAGTCAGTAATAGTAACTATTCAAAGCGAAGCAGCGAACGGATCACCTGAAGCGAAGCGGAAGAAGCGAATTGAGAATTTTAAAGTATTCTAAGTGTTAGTACAGTTTTAATTTGTACTTCGGTAGATTTTTTATTAATTCTGAACCCCAATATGTTGAAATACCTTTTGCGTGATATACTGAGCCGATCAACTCGTGACCGTGGCGTATAATGCAAAATAAAAATTGGAATTGTATATTAAATAGGAGCATTTACAATATTATCTTATTCTTACTGGTGGTAAGACGTTCTGGGAGCCCACACGGGTAGGTAACACCGCCCTGTCTATTTCAGCCGTGAAGCAGTAATGTGTTTCGGTTTGAAGGGTGTAGCAGCCGTTGTAACTATACTGAGACCTTAGAACTCATATCAAAGGTGGGTGGTGGCATTTACGTTGTAGATGTCTATGGGTTCCAGTAACCACTTAACGCCAGGTGGGCTCGTCATCCATCTAAGCAATAAAAAAAGAAAAGAAAAGTTTTAGAACACAGATCTAGTCTATTGGCTTGTTGCAAATAGAAAATTCTTCACGTTGTTCTGTTTCACGGTAGAAAGGTCGAACTCCAACTGAATCCTCCTCTTGTCTCGTCCAGGCTTGGGATCGTGATTAGCAGGGTTAAATTGACCCGTTTAATTGGCCGAGCTAAATTGGGACCGGCATTGACATAGCAAGCGACAATTGCGCTTGATAATGCTCCTGACATTACTGACGTCTATGAGAGACGGTTACCACTCACTATCAAGGGGACTGTGCGCTTTTTCGTCTAAAAATCAAAAAATAAAATAAAAACGCTATTACCGCAACTTTCATACAAAAAAAACCACTGGTCCTGTATTCCTGTGAATAACAACGAAATAAATAATTCGCTAAACGTAAATAAAAATTAATATGAAAAAAACGAAGTTTCTGAAATAAAACTAGACTGCGCCAACGTCTCGAGACGCCTACGTGTAGTTTGCAACTCGAGAGCTGTATGCCTGAAGAGCTTTGAGCTTTTATACTGTCGCCTAAAATGTATACTTTACCCATCCGCCGCCCAGGAAAAAGCTTTAACTTAAGCTATTGATAAACTTTATTTTCTTTTCATTACCCACGTAAACCGTGATGAATGTTTTATTCTGATACAAATCAGGTTCCAGCAAATGTTTTAGCGCCCAACAGGACTTCTTTAGACAATAATCACTTAGAAATAAACAACACAACCTACTATTGATTAATAGATTGTCGTAATCTCCTAAGAAATAATGATCCGGAAAATATGACTATAAAATCTGTAAAAGTGTCTGTAATATTCATAATTTTTTATACCGCTTCAAACACTTTAATTGAAATCATTTCTTTAGGATGACACAAGATTAGTTTGATAAACTGCAGAAAATTTTTAATCTTTACATCGCAAATAATAATGCTAACGCAATAAATGAATGCAACAAAAAATATCTTAACATGAACGTAGATCGCTGACGCTCATGCTCTAATATTTGCGCTTTGGAACCAGACAAGCGATCCAAGAACACTGTCAAACGAGAACCATAACATTTTACATTTGGGAGTCTAAAGGATTTTTGAGAAACTATAATATCTCCGTGTGCAGGTGGTAGGACGCCGTAAAAGGCTTCTGCTACATATGACATAAAAATCAAACATTCCTCCGGGAATGTCTCCGGTATTCGTTTCTTGGCTGCCACAAAAACAAAATTCAACAGAGATGTCATTTCAAAAAATAAAAACTCGTGTGGCACTCGGAGACTGCCGCAGTAAAACTATTGCATAGCATTTTTATCAACTTATGCAATTATAATTAGACAATGATAATTTAATATTAAAACAATAAAAAATAAGACCACGCTCTTATATAAACATTCACTTTTTTTTTTTTTTTTTCCTACCTAAGCTGATAGCCTTGAGAGGCTATGTCAGCGTAACCCTAACTTTAGTAGGTGAGCTCACGGGGCTCAAGCCTGACGATGTTGCTAACACGAACCCTAGCAAGAGCCGTGCTTCGCAGAATCTACCACCGGATCGGAAACGCGACCCACTGAGAAGATCCGGCGAGAAACTCAGTGGGCTGTGTCTGAGAGTTAATTTACTCGTCGAGCCCTTCGTCGCAAGCGACGGGTTCGACGAGAACGGTGACCGGTAAACATTCACAAAAGCAAAACATTAACTGTCCCCTTCACACTCATAAGCTAGACCGCGCGAGAGAGAGATGGGCAGACTTTTCAAGATGCGCATGCAGTGCGACGTCACGCCACGCGCTCATTCACAAACACTACACAAGCGCAACGTGTGAATATGCTGAACGCGAGCTACATCCGCGAGCGTAGGTGGAGTGGGGGTGTTAGGTTTTATTTTCGTTACGGAATTTCTTAATTCAGTCGCCGCTCTCAAAGCCCGCGATAAAAGCTATACAATAGCCTAATATTAATCTAATTCAAACATTACTGTTTATTACACTATGTTCATCTGTGAAGCAATGAATTAAACAAAAAATAAATAAACGCATCGTCTCCCAGTATATGTTGAAAACATGCCCTGGGTGTAATGTTTAACATACGTCGAAGCTTATATTGTATACAACATGGTCAAATATGTATGCCGGAGAGCCAGAATTTTTCTGAGTTTCTGTTAGTAAAGTTATGTTATTTTACATATTTATGTTTTGTTATTTTGTTATTGACGTTTATAATTTACATTATATGCATGTTTTCCGTAACCTATACCGATAGCATGAAAATTAATGAAACATGAAAAAAATACAAATTTGTAAAATTAATTCTGTAAAACTAGGACTTCTGTTAAGAATTGGTTGTGTCCTCGACTGCAATACTTGCGTTTTATAGCAGTTATGTGCATAGCAATACATTTTGTTAGTAACGATCAAATGGAAATGGCCTTTTTTATAGCACTGGATGGATGAATAAACCTTCGAGCTGCATCGCGTTATCGGAGCCTTTAGACGTCTATAACGTGAATAGAGAAACCTTGAGAAAAGAGGTCAAAGTCTATCAAGATCTAAATTATCCTATTCACCAAATTGAGTAGTTGACGCAGACTATGTCATGACATAAATTTTTGAAATATCAGCTACAATTTTCTTCGCCTTTACCTAATCGCCGGTGGCCTTGAATGAGTTTAGTAACACTAGTTCTAGGAAGTGAAGTGCTTCGCTGAATTTACCACCGGATCGCAACCGCGACCCACTGAAATCCGGTGAGGAACTTAATGGGTTGTATCCATGGGCTTGCACGTCTTTCGACATGAACGATGACATTTTCTTTACCAGGAACGAATCTTTATCAATACCATAAGTTTTTTTTATTCCCGTATAGGCAGACGAGCATACGGCCCACCTGATGGTGAGTAGTTACCGTCGCTCATGGACGTCAGCAATGGCAGGGGCAGAGCCAAGCCGCTGCCTACCGTACTCTCCACAAGCCTCGTTTGAAGAAGGACATGTCATAGCGCTCGCTCGTCATACATGACCTAAGTATTCTCTAATAATCCTTCTCAATAACAAGTGTCCTGGCTGTGCTGCTAATATTGAATGACTATTATCCAAGGTACCTCCTTAACACAAGTTAGGCCGTACGCTCACCTACCATGGAGGATTAAAAAAAAAAGTCGTATAAACTATTTTAAGAAACGTCATATTTCTTGTTACTACATATTACGAAGTCCCCAGAAGCCGAGTGGCGAACGATCATATAAAGTTTAACTTCAAAAACAGCTTGGTTTCCTTCGAATTATCCATCCATCGCTCAACACGGTTAGAATAAGTCATTATATGAAACGGCTTTTTAATCTAAAGTATAGTGAAGCCGGCCGGGGATGTTGGCGTCTCGCCACATGCTTCCAGACGGAAGATTCAAACACGAACCGTGACGTGAAACCGAAGCGCGAACGATCCTAAAAACTTTTACTTTGTAACCCGATATGTTGTAGTTTAATCGCAGTTTCAGTGCTCTAAAGTAAAAGCCAAGTTTTTTGGAAAATTTGAGCTTGAAATCAAATGTGATTAATAGAGCTTCTAGGACTTATGGTTTATTATTGAAGTGAAACTTCTTTAGGTGCGTTGAGAGCTTAACTTGCGACAGATTCGTTACGGCTAGAGAGAAAATATGAAATTTAGGAAGAGCGAAAGAGAAAATAAACAGAGCGTCTCCCGAACCAGTCGTCATTGTTTAGTTTAGCGACATCTATTAGATTTCAAAACTAATCCATTGCAAGGCCAACGGTGTCAACAGTTTAGTTTGAAGATATTAACAGAGAGCGGTATTTTGAATACAAATATTATTTTAAATTATCACAAAAAAGATTATTAAGTAAAACCTCGTTCGGTAATCATCGAATACCGGTAACAAATTCCTTCTAAGCTAATATTATTTCTCGAGGTACCTACGTTGAAGTTTCACTTCTTTCACGTGCACCAAGTTGCACGCGCACCATTTTTTTATAAACAAAAATGGGCAGACCGGCTCACGTACTGTGAACCATACTGGTAAAGCCATCGTGGCGTGGCCTATTTCAGCCACGAAGCAGTCATACTTTCCAGTCCCAGAGGGCTATCAAAATACATTTGAGACATTGAAATCGTCTCTCAAGGCGGCAATAAGGTCCCGATGTATGTCTGCATCAGATGGATATTTTTTTCCAGGCAATAAAAACTATACATTTACAAACACTTCAGAAAAAACTATTC